TTCACAGTTCTAGAAGTTGGGAAATTCAAGAGCATGGCCCTGGCATCTGACAAGGGTCATCCCATGGTGGAAAAGTGGACAGTAGGAGGGCAAGAGTGAGACAGAGGAAAAGAAGGCCAGACTCCCACAATCATAGCCTTAATCCATCCATGGGGCAGTGCTCTCATGACGTCATCGCCTCCCAAAGGTGCTACCACTTAACGCCACCACAATGGCAACCACGTTTCCAACGTATGAACTTTTAGAGGACACATTTAAACCACGGCACTGGGAAAATAAAAGAAGCACATTGCAAAGATCATCATGTCATCAGGCCTCAGACATGGAGAAGGCCCAGACAAGGGATCCTCATGACATGAGATTCGAAGAAAGACCAGCAGACACCAACACACCAACTCTTTAAACTCCAGAAACAAGTAAGCGGTCTTAAAACCTGCCATGAAGGAAAGATGAAACAGAAAAGGACATAAAGATATGTATCTAGTTTATCTTTTCTCCTTGTGAGCAAAAGAAAATGTTGAAACCTAAAAGGTCTATAGGAATCTGTCCACATTTTTATAGCAGCAAAGATAAAGCAAACGATAGAGATGTGGTGCCAATAGACATATTCTTCGACATATGTGGGTAAATGAATTTACAAGGGGCAAGGCTAGTAACATTAAGTAAAAACCAACCTTGGAGAGAAAAACAACAATTAAATTTGAGTAAGGAAGCCGGTGCTTACTATCAAAATGAATACATAACATAATTGAAGTTAGAAGTGATTCACTTATATAATAAATATAAGGAATTGTTTCATCAGTCTGTCTAAACAAGTCTTAAATAAACGATAAAACAAACATTAAAATTAGGAAATAGAACCACTCAATATCTATCATGTAACTTCAATAGTTATAAGGAGATTCATCTTTAAAAATTTATTTTTATTTTTTGAGAGAGAGTTTTGCTCTGTTGCCAGGCTGAAGTGCAGTGGCACGATCTTGGCTCACTGCAACCTGGGTTCAAGCCTCCTGGGTTCAAGCAATTCTCCTGCCTCAGCCTCCCAAGTAGCTGGGACTACAGGCGCACGCCACCACACCCAGCTAATTTTTTGCATTTTTAATAGAGACAGGATTACCACGTTGGCCAGGATGGTCTTGATCTCTTTCTTGACCTTGTGATCTGCCCGCCTCAGCCTCCCAAAGAGCTGGGATTACAGGCATGAGCCACTGAGCCCTGCCAGATTCATCTTTTAATAAATATTAAGTAAGTACATCTCAGGAAAATGTGTAAGGATATACAAATTCATTTGATATTGTCTCTAATCTCAAGGAACTAACAGTCTAATAGGGGAAGTTGGTCCAGATATATCTAGATTAAAGGAATAAATACCATTAGTAAGGCACAGAGCAAGAATTATGGGAGCTAGGAGGAGGAAAAGATTACTTTCAGTAAGGGCTTCTGGGATTCCCTTAAAAGGGTGACAAGTGAGATGTGCCTTGGAAGATGGTTTGGAGACTCAGACCCAGCAGGTGAAGAGAAAGAGGACCAGCATGGGCCTGAGCAGATGGTCAAAAAAGGCCATGGTATATATGGGACCAGTGACTGCATCAGGTTGACTGCAGTTTAGGGTCCAGGAGCAGTCAGAAAGTGAGGTTGGAATCCCATCACATGGGGGCTTAATTATCAGGCTAAGAAGTATGAGCTTTGTTTTGTAGCAAATAATTGGTAACAGGGGAGCCACGTAAGGAACATAAAGAATGACCTTGCAGCTCGTGTACACTGTATGGGAAAGGACAGACAAGGCAGGCAGGCGAGGCTAGAGCCACACTGCAGTGGTAACAACGGCCTGAGCTACCTCCAGGAGTGACAGTAGGAACGGAGTGGAGAGGACCTACCCAAAGGTGAAACCAACAGGGCTCATCAGCATATTCAGCAAAGGCTTAGGATGTGCTGACTTTGTGCCCAGCATTAGTGCAACTAACGGGGATACAAAAATGACAAAGATGTATATGTTTCACCTAAAAGGATTAAGTAAGGGGAAATGCAGAGAAAAGAGCCAAGGATAGCATCAAGTCTCAGGGAAAGAGCAAGGTAGTGCTAGCTGTAGATGGGAACTGAGGTGAATGAGTAGGGGAAGCTAATGTGTGTTCAGTGTCTAGTTTGAGCCTAAGTCTGAAAAGACAGAGGAAGAAGTGTTTTTCCTACTCTCTGACACAGTCACTCAATGCCTCTGACACCAGATATGTGGGGGTATTTCTCCACACTCCAAGCAGTTCTCCAGCAGACACCAGCTGTCCTCTAATCCATTTGCGTTCTTACACTGTCTACCTAGAGGCACATCAGATCCCACAGACTGACGGCTCAGTCCTACAAGATGGCCCCCACTTCAGATGCCAATCACAAGGAGCAGGCTGTCACCTACGTTTCTGACTGACTAAACTGGGGCTGCCACTCCTCCTCCTTGGGCTTGATTAATTTGCTAGAGTGGCCCATAGGACTCAGGGAAACACTTAACTTACATTTAATGGTTAATAAGGAAATCAGAAGATACAGATGAACAGCCAGATGAAGAGACACATAGGGTGAGTCTAGAAAGGTCTTGAGTACTGGAGCTTCTGTCCCCATAGGGTTGGAATGCACCATCTTCCTGGCACTTGGATGAGTCTGCCAGTTCAAATGCTCTCCAAACACCAGAGTTTAAAGATTTTTATGGAGGCTTCATCACAGAGGCATGATCAGTTATTAACTCAATCCCCAGTCCCTCTCTCTCCCTGGAGGATAGGGCTGGAACTGAAAGCTCCAAGTTCACAGTCATGGCTTGGTCCTTCTGGTGACCAGCACCATCCAGGAGCCCACTAAGAGTCACCTCATTAGAACAAAAGATATTCCTATCACTCATGAAATTACAAGGGATTTTGGAGCTCGGTGACAAGAACGGGTGTCAAAGACCAAATCACAGAACAAAAGATTCTGCTAGCACCCCTATGTACAATGGAATTAGAAACTCTGTCTCAGGAACTGGGGCAGACACCAAATATTGGAACAGAAGTGTCTCCTCATACCCCTACTGTTCAGAAACTTATGAGGGTTTTACGAGCTCTGTTCCTGGAACTGGGAGCAGAGATCAATGTGTATATATTTATTATTTCACACTAAGGTACCAGCAGGAAATCGACTGAGAGAGCAGAACCCCTGAGGTTTAGAAGAGGAGAGGGAGAGGGTGTCAAGACTAGAGAAAGATCAGGGAGATGACAGGTAATAACATGAGATCTGGCTAAATCGCTTAAATTAATAAGGGAAACCCAGTGGCATGAAGCATAAGCGGAATTTCAGGAAAGGAAAAAATGATGATACCAAGAGGCTGTGCAGAGTGACAATCTGGTCTCTACGCTGGTGAAACTCTCATAGGGCACGGAGGTTTGAAGGAGTGAGTGAGCAGTCAGAAATGAAGACCTGTGCCAATCCTCAAGAATGATGGCTAGGCACAGTGGCTCAGGCTTATGATCCTAGCACTCCGGGAGGCCGAGGCAGGTGGATCACCTGAGGTCTGGAGTTCAAGGCCAGCCTGGCCAACATAGTGAAACCTCACCTCTACTAAAAATATAAAAGAGTTAGTCAGGCATGGTGGTGCATGCCTGTAGTCCCAGCTACTCAAGAGGCTGAGGCAGGAGAGTTGCTAAACCCAGGATGTGGAGACTGTAGTGAGCCAAGTTTGTGCCACTGAACTCTAACCTGGACAACAGAGCGAGACTCCATCTCAAGGGGAAAAAAAAAATGTAGCCACCCCCAAGGAGAGAGAAAAGCTACAAAAACAGCAGAAGCTAGAAAAGGTCTTTATCTTTTGGCATCATTTTGGTGCTTTTTTTTTTCCTTTAAAGAAAAGGTATCAAGATGATTTTGGTATGAGAAGATAAACAAGCAGACTAAAAAAATTATTTTTTTCATTTTTAAAAGATGGAGTCTGGCCTGGGTACAGTGGCTCGGGCACAGTGGCTCATACCTGTAATCCCAGCACTTTGGGAGACCAAGGAGGGCAGATCACTTTACCTCAGGAGTTCAAGACCAGGCTGGGCAACATGGTAAAACCTCATCTCTACTGAAAATATAAAAATTAGCTGGTCTGGTGGCATGGGCCTATAGTGCCAGCTACTTGGGAGGCTAAGGCAGGAGAATCCTTTGAGCCTGGGAGGCAGCAGTGACCCAAGAGTGTGCCACTGAACTCTAGCCTGGGTGACTATTGTTTTACTCAGCCTACTTTCTGAGACTTATGTTGACAGATGCAATTGTAGTTCATTCCTTTTAACAGCTAAAAACTGTATTATTAATCTCCCATTAACAGACAAGTTATTATCTAACTTTTGCTCTAACAATGCTACAATAAACTTTTCTTTTCTTCTTTTCTTTTCTTTTTTGGAGACAGGGTCTCATTCTATTGCCCAGGCTGGAGTGCAGCTGCACAACCACAGCTCACTGTAGCCTCAAACTCCCAGGCTCAAGTGATCCTCCTACCTCAGTCTCCCAAAAGCTGGAGCCACAGGCATGGGCCACACCACACTCAGCTAATTTTTTTTTTTTTTGTAGAGACAGGGTCTCCCTATGCTGCCCAGGCTGGTCTCTCACTCCTGGGCTCTAGTGATCCTCTCACTTCAGCCTCCCAAAGTGCTGGGATTGCAGGCACGAGCCACCGTGCCTGGCCATGAACTCTTCTTCTAAGTGTCTGTTCCTACATATATTGGAGTTTCTGCAGGGTGGAGCCCTAGAAAAGGAATTACTGGAGCCCTTTCTTTTTAAACTCTGTTTTCCTTTTTGAAGCCTGTTTTAATAATCATATTACAATACAGGAGTATTCCTACAGTTAATAAAAGGTTCTAACTGGAGAGAACCTTAAGATCTTCTCTGTGGAAAAAGATTAGATTTTGTATTAAATTGTTTTACTTTCAAGCCATCCCAGGATACCTAATTAGTAAAGACATTTGGAGTAAAACGCACCACTGTATACTTCGTTAATGAAAAATTACCTGTGCAATATTTTGAGAAGACATAATTGCCTGATTATAGAACGTACGGCCAAAGTGGTCTCGATCTGCAAACACTTCTGCTTGTCGAGGTAAGTATGCCCCTCCCGAATCAACTGAGGACAAGGAAAATGAGAAAAACAAGCATCTCTATGAACAAAATGTGCTACACAGAGGAAAACTGGTATCAATGACAATATCGGTTTTTGATCACATTTACAAAAACCTTGGCCTGTCTTTCTAAACTATTACAGAGCCTCATTCTCCAAACCCCAAATGCAGCCAAAAGGATTCATTGCTCCAAACCCATTAGGCTTTCCTACCTCTGCAAAATTTTCCTTGAAATGTTTATACCATTATCTCCTTTGAGGGCCAGCTAAAGCCCCAGAAACATCATAAATTCTTGAAAAGTGAAAGTGGAAAAGTACCTTTCCTTCTTCTAAATCAATACAAAAGCAATCTACAGAATTCATATGACAATTTATATATATTGCCTTCTGATGCTGTTTTTATTGTAAACTGGAGTGGTGGGTACATATGTTAGCTGAGTTTAAAGGGTAGCTCATTACTTCATAGCTGTATGATTACAGGTGTGTTTCCTAGCCATCCTATGCCTTGGTTTCCTTATCCATGAAATGAAGATAACAAAAGTAGCCATATCATATATTAGGAGGACCTGAAAAATGTATAGAAAGCACTAGTTCAGAATCTGCAACCATTAAGTCTTTTGTTGGCTGCACATTATATGCTGTCTTCAATTCATTATGGGCTCACAATTCATTAAGACAGAGACAACAAAATCCTCCTCACTGTGTCCCCTATGGTGACCGGCACAGCACCTGCAAGCAGCTGGGCTTCATTTGCTATTTTCTCTATGTGCAGAGCAGTTCATATTGTGAGGTAACGAGGTAAATCCAATTTCACAGAAAAAAACAAAAACAAAAAATACCTCTACATCAGTACCCATTCAAATACCTGCATAAATGAAAACCTATGTTGGAAATTTCCAGACTAATCCAATATCCAGGAAAGGCCTATTTTAAACTGCTTTGCTTTCAGGTTCTTTAATTTAAATGTATTTTAATTTCAAATATAAATTTACCTTCATTGGAAATTAAATTTACTTTAAATTATATCTGCTCAAATTATAAAATACTTGCACATTTAACACAATACCTGGCATTCAAGAGACTACAAACATTGGTTATTATTTTTCTCATAGTTTGAATCCATAATGGTTAAAAGAGAAACAGAATCTAGAGAACAAAAAAAACACACACACAATGTGTAGAGAAAAAACTGGCAGGCATCACCATGTTTGAGTATTATGCACTATTACGAACAGTTCTTATTTACTTTCCCCCAGAGTTTTCAGCAAAGAACCTGTGTTTCCTTTATAATTATGGAAGAAATTAACAGGTTTTTAAAATATCCATCCCTAATGTGATACATACAGCCTTCCAAACGGTCTTGCATTTTACCAGCTAATCATAGTTTATTTTACAACTTTTGTAACTTGCCCAAGTAGATGCAGGGGAGCCTGTTCTGCATGGCAATTTCTTGTGCCCGTAATTGTTTTTTCACAGTCACTGGGTAGTAGGTACCTCCTTTGACAGTGGGATCGTTGGCAAGAATCATGCATTCTACTCTGAAAGGCAGAAATTTCATTGGAGAGAGAATTTAAAAGATTTTAAAAGAATTTAAAAGATTTCTTTAAAATTAAGTACACTCATTATGAGACACTCCAATACAACTTTCAACTTCCAGTACGCATCACTATTCACAACCATTAGCAGACAATAATCTTAGGACATAAATGCACGCTTTAATCACAGTTCACATATTCATTTATGTAATACAAAAAGATTGCTTTTAACAAGTTTACAAACTCATACTTGACTTTTAAAGAGTCATCAGTCCTAGATTAGTAATAGAAAACTAACAACCTAACCCATGTGTCATAATGGCTCTTTGGATGAAAGGGTCCTAACAAGATGATGATAATGAGAAAACAAGTCTCAAGGGAAAAGAATTCCCTCATAATAAACCTTCAAAATTTCCTTTTAGGAGGGTAATTTGCAAAAATGGAAACTGACCTGTCAAGAGTACTAAGATTTATTTTTTGTATTTTCCAAAGTTCTTGAACCTTACAGCCCCATGGTTTTCTACAAAACTAAAAGTAGTCTAAAATATAGTAACATTTATCTTGCCTGAAGTCACAATGAATGCAAACTCTAAAATAATATACTAAAAACACATGAAAGGTATAAGGAGTCATCAACAGTGCCCTTTCTCACCAAAACCAGTTTATTGGGTATGAGTCACGAAGACCAGGATGGCCGACAACCACGGCTGGCTGGGCAAACTTCACAGCACTGGTAGGAAAACTTAAGGTCAGAGGTTCCCTTGAAATCTCAGATGACAACAGTGTGCTCTTTACAAAATTCAATCTTCTTTATGTTTGTGATGTTTGTGTTACCTCGCTTTATACTGCCTACAACTCTAAAGAGCGACTCATTAAATCCCTGCTGAAAATAAAGTTGAGAACAGCATCTGCGGCCGGGCGCGGTGGCTCAAGCCTGTAATCCCAGCACTTTGGGAGGCCGAGGCGGGTGGATCACGAGGTCAAGAGATCGAGACCATCCTGGTCAACATGGTGAAACCCAGTCTCTACTAAAAATACAAAAAATTAGCTGGGCATGGTGGTGCTTGCCTGTAATCCCAGCTACTCAGGAGGCTGAGGCAGGAGAATTGCCTGAACCCAGGAGGCGGAGGTTGCGGTGAGCCGAGATCGCGCCATTGCACTCCAGCCTAGGTAACGTAAGTGAAACCCCGTCTCAAAAAAAAAAAAAAAAAAAAGAACAGCATCTGCGCACCCAGCACAGGGGAGTGTTGGGCTTCATATTAGGAAACGTGGCCAGCATGGCTCACCACAAGACAAACAGCACTCTTCTTTGAGCATCGATTTTATTCCCTAGGTCATAACAAACCTTTTCCTGTACTTCAATAGACATTTTATAGAATAGAAGGCACACTTTTAATGATTTAACAGTAAACAAACTAGACTTCAACGGAAATGTAAGCTTATCGTAGGTTGCTGGGCTATAACCACTCTCCAGAGTGTGTGCTCACACTTCCTACCACTGGGGGTGCTATGCTAGAAAGTTTAAGAAGCTCTGGGACTGGAGAGAGGTCAGGCTGTGAGGTCAGACAAAGTTAGGCTGAAATTCTGGCTCTGCCACTTGCTGGATATGTGACTATGGACAAGAGACACAGCCATATCAGCTTGTCTATTAAAGGTTACAGATGTTACAGAATGAGAAATCAAATTGGCCCACAAAAAGACTAGATTGCATATCTATTGGTTTTGCCTACCCAGTATCTATTATTTAGATAACAAAACTAAAGGTTTTTTTTTATTATACTTTAAGTTCTGGGATACACGTACCGAATGTGCAGGTTGTACATAGGTATATACATGCCATGGTGGTTTGCTGCACCCATCAACCCGTCATCTACATTAGGTATTTCTCCGAATGCTATCCTCCCCTAGGCCCCCATCCCCTGACAGGCCCCACTGCGTGTGATGTTTCCCTCCCAGTGTCCATGTGTTCTCATTGTTCAACTCCCACTTATGAGTGAGAACATACAGTGTTTGGTTTTTCTGTTCCTGTGTTAGTTTGCTGAAAATGATGGTTTCCAGCTTCATCCATGTCCCTACAAAGGACAGGAACTCATTCTTTGTGGCTGCATAGTATTCCACGGTGTTTATGTGCCACATTTTCTTTATCCAGTCTATCCTTGATGGGCATTTGGGTTGGTTCCTAGTCTTTGCATTGTTTCCAAGTCTTTGCTATTGTGAACGGTGCTGCAATAAACATATATGTGCATGTGTCTTTATAGTAGAATTATTTATAATCCTTTGGGTATATATCTAGTAATGGGATTGCTGGATCAAATGTTATTTCTGGTTCTAGATCCTTAAGGAATTGCCACACTGTCTTCCACAATGGTTGAACTAATTTACAATGCAAAAAGGTTTCTATTTCTCCACATCCTCTCCAGCATCTGTTGTTTCCTGACTTTTTTTTTTTTTAATTAATTTATTTTTTAAGATGGGGTTTCACCATATTGGTCAGGCTGGTCTCGAACTCCTGACCTAGGTGATCTGCCCACCTCAGCCTCCCAAAGTGCTGGGATTACAGGCGTGAGCCACCGTGCCCAGCTGTTTCCTGACTTTTTAATGATCATCATTCTAACTGGCGTGAGATAGTATCTCAGTATGGTTTTGATTTGCATTTCTCTAATGACCAGTGTTGATTAGCTGATTTTCATCGCTTGCAACAAAACTAAACTTTCAGAAACTACCTCTAACCTTCAATCCAGGTGGGTCAAGTAGGACTGACCCCAGCGCCCACTTTAAAGAGAGGCACAGGGGCCAGGCCTTTCTACTCAGAGTTCCCACTGAGGCTCAGCAATGGGACAGCCTCTAAGCCTAAGCACTTAGAATCTTGCCTTCCACTGCAGCTGCTAAACTTATAGAACATAAACCAGGAACTGCCTATGACCATCACTGCCTCTGGATTGAGAGAGCCTGCCTAGGAACAAAGCTGACATACAGAAAGTCAGGGCCAGGAGCAGAAAACAGCCTGGGACCTAATAATACCTAAGATCATTTGAGCTCCCAGATCCAGCTATGTCCAGACTTACCAGATAAGAAAATCAATACATTCTCTTTTTCGCTTAATTTGAGCAAAACTCAGCTCATCTGTCATTTGTCAGAGAAAGAATGGTGATGATGTAAACTGTTCAACAAGACTTTTTATGCAAAGATCACTTTGAACTATAATGAAGGCCAGGGCAATGGCTCATGTTTGTAATCCCAGCACTTTGGGAGGTCAAGGTAGAAGGATCACTTGATGCCAGGGGTTCAAGGCTACAGTAAGCTATGATCATGCCACTGTACTTCAGCCTGGGTGACAAAGTAAGACCCCAACTCAAAATAAAATTATAATGATGTGCTGGCCTATATTCAAGATCATTTGAGCCCAGAAGTTTGAGATTAGCCTAAGCAACAGAGCAAGAAACCAACTCTAAAACAACAAAAAAGGAAAATAGAATTCATAATTAAGTGCTACTTTATACCTATTAAATGACTGAACTTTTTTCAGCCATAATATCCAATACTAGAGCATCTCTAGTGAAAAGATAAAGACTGGTCTCCTTCCTTGCCCTTGTCTCAATGGAAAGAAATCTTTTTTTTTCTTTTGAAACAGAGTCTTGCTCTGTTGCCCAGACTGGAGAACACTGGCATGATCTTGGCTCACTGCAACCTCCGCCTCCTGGGTTCAAATGATTCTCCTATCTCAGCCTCCCCAAGTAGCTGGGATTACAGGCATGTACCACCATGCCAGCTTATTTTTGTATTTTTAGTAGACATGAGGTTTCACCATGCTGGCCAGCCTGATCTCAAACTCTTGACCTCAGGTTATCCACCTGCCTCGGACTTCCAAAGTGCTGGGATTACAGGTGTGAGCCACAGTGCCCAGCCAGTCCTACATAATATAAATAGCATATAAATCGCATGCTAATATGCAAAGTGAGTGCTGGATGCCTGTGCTTCATCAAAGTCTTCTTCTTAACCCACATTATGAAACACAGGTAGAATACTCACCCTGATACTCTTCCAATGCCTGTAATAATGCCACCCCCTGGTACCTCCTCATTGTCATATAACTGGTAACCTGCAAACTGGGATAATTCCAGAAATGGAGACCTGAAGGGAAGAAAGGAGGTCGTTTGAATTAACGTCATTAAAAAATACACATTTAGGTCACAGCGAGGGCACTGGCAGAGGGGCACGTAGCAGGTCCCACACTCCAGCCTCTCAAGGCCGGGGTGTGCTGCCTGCTTGTCCTGGAGTGAAGTGCCCATGATCGAGTCATCCAAGGAGGAAAAAATCTGTTCCAGGTGAGCCCAGGCCGCCCCGGATATGCGATGGCTGAGGAGGGGACACCAGGGACCACACTGAGGTTGGGTTTCACACCAAGATACTGGATTCTCCTAGTTAAGATAAAGAGTTTTGGGTGCCTGACAGTGAAAATGGCATAATCTGCGTTAATAGTTCACAGCTCAAAGGCATGACAGTTAAAGAACACACATGGACTTGTGGCACATGGAAATGTGTGCACAGAAAAAGGAAATCTATAATTCTTTAAAAGTAGGAAGGCATTCTTCCTTGCCAAAATGGGTACATTCTGTTCATTATCAAGTTTGAAAATCTCCAAGAATTAAAGAGACTGTGTCACTAGGGTCCCATCATAGCCCTTGGTGTTATAGCAATATGTTCTACAATGGCCATGATTGACTCTGTGTTGCGGTATTGGCCCTTACATACAACTGGAAGAAGTGTGAATTTCATCATGTTGATAAATTGGACTGTCATGATTCTTTATAATTACTTCAATGCCATGTTTGTCGGTCCGGGCTTTGTCCCTCTGGGGTGGAAACTGGAAATTTCTCAGGATATCATGTATCTCCAGTATTGTAAAGTCTGCCAAGCATACAAGGCACCAGGTTCACATCACTGCAGAAAGTGTTAACAGACGTGTGATGAAGATGGACGTTCACTGTCCTTGGATCAGCAACTGTTGTGGTTACCAAAATCATGCTTCGTTCACACTGCTTCTCCTTTTAGCACCACTGCATCGTATCCATGCTGCTTTCATTTTTGTGATGACTATGTACACACAGCTTTATAATTGGCTCTCCTTCGGATGGAACACAGTGAAGACTGACATGAGTACAGCCCGCAGAGATCCTCTTCCAATTGTTCCACTTGGATTAGCTGCATTTGCTGCCACCTTGTTTGCCTTGGGATTAGCTTTAGGAACAACCATAGCTGATGGGATGTTGTTTGTTATGCAGATGAAAATAATTCTCAGAAACAAAACTTCTACTGAATCATGGATTGAAGAGAAGGCTAAAGACTGAATTCAATATTATCAACTAGATGAAGTCTGTTTTTCCTTATGATACAGGAAGTAGATGGAGGAACTTTAAACAGGTATTTACATGGTCAGGGGTCCCTGAAGGAGATGGACTTGAGTGGCCAGTAAGAGACGGCTGTCACCAATACAGCTTAACAATAGAACAGTTGAAACAAAAAGCAGGTAAGAGAGTCAGAAGTGTTCTCTATAAAGTAATAGAAGATTATAGTGGTGCCTGCTATCCTTTGAATAAAGGAATCAAAACCTTCTTCACAAGCCCCTGCACTGAAGAGCCTCGAATACAGCTACAAAAAGGGGAATTCGTTTTAGCCACAAGAGGTTTACAATACTGGCTGTATGGAGACAAAATTCTTGATGATTCTTTTATAGAAGGTGTTTCAAGAATAAGGGGATTGTTCCCTAGAAAATGTGTGGAAAAGTGTCCCTGTGATGCTGAAACACATCAAGCTCCAGAGGGCAAGCAGAAAAATACATAGCTGCTGTCAAAACGAAATTATCCTTTAAGTCTGCTTAATTACTTGAAAATTGTACATATTACTAAAGAATTATGCAACGAGCCTACTCTGGTTAAGATGTTCTTTTCCTCAAAGGTGCCCTAGTGCCATGATTTAAATATTTTTATTACCATTTTGAAATGGAGAGGCCATTTTGCATATATATGCCTTTGAATTCTTGCCCCTCTTTACTACCTCTTCTTCCCCCTCAAAAGAAAAACATTTCACCCAAGTAAGTGAATGGCATTTTCTCTAGGATTTTCTTATGCACTGCACACTCTAGACCTCACCTGCAGATACAGTTCCCTCCTTGCCAGGTGCATCTGCATGTGGTACTTCTCTTTTCCCTCACATGATATTTCTTATATGATATTCTAGATACTACAGAATTCAATTTGTCAGATTCAGTATAAGCTCAAATTTTGTTACGTGTCTTAATAATACAAATTTTGTCAAATCAAATAAAGATCAATGGATGTTCTGTATAAAAAAAAATACACATTTAAACAGCTACACATGGAAATGATTTTTTCTTAATAAGACAATGTTTCAAATAAGCATGCTGTACATAAAATATATTTTTAAAAATCTAACATGGGTGTAGTGGCTCAAGTTTATAATCCAACTATTCAGGAGGCTGAGGCAAGAGGCTTGTTTGAGCCCAAGAGTTGGAGGCCAGCCTGGACAACATAGCAAGACCCTGTCTCTCTCTCTCTCTCTCTTTTTTTTTTTTTTGGAGATGGAGTCTTGCTCTGTCACCCAGACTGGAGTGCAGAGGTGTGATCTCAGCTCACTGCAACCTCCACCTCCTGTATTCAAGCAATTCTGCCTCAGCCTCCCGAGTAGCTGGAGTTACAAGCACGCACCACCATGATGGGCTAATTTTTTTGTATTTTTAGTAGAGATGGGGTTTCACCATGTTGGCCAGGCTGGTCTCAAACTCCTGAATTCAGGTGATCTGCCCACCTCGGCCTCCCAAAGTGCTGGGGTTACAGGCATGGGCCATCACACCCAGCTGAGACCCTGTCGTTTAAAACTTTTGTTGCTAGATGGGGTGGCTCACGCCTGTAATCCTAGCACTTTGTGGGTCTCATGTGGGTGGATTGCTTGAGCCCAGGAGTTCAAGACCAGCCTGAGCAACATAGTGAAACCATGTTTCTACAAAAAAGAATTTTTTTAAAACATAGCTGGTCATGGTGGCAAACACCCGTGGTCCCAACTACTTGGGAGGCTGTGGTGGAAGAATCACTTGAGTCCAGGAGATCAAGGCTGTAGTAAGCTGTGACTGTGCTACTACACTCCAGCCTGGGCAATGGAATGAGATGCTGTCTCAAAAAAACAAATAAATGGCCAGGTGCAGTGGCTCACACCTGTAATCCCAGCACTTTGGAAGGCCAAGACAGGAGGATCACCTCAGGTCAGGAGTTTGAGGCCAGCCTGGATAATGTGGTGAAACCCTGTCTCTACTAAAAATACAAAAAAAAAAAAAAAAAAAATTAGCCAGGCATGGTGGCACGTGCCCGTAAATCCCAGCTACTCAGGAGGCTGGGGTAGGAGAATCACCTCAATTTGGGAGGCAGAGGTTGCAGTGAGCTGAAATCGCGCCACTGTACTCCAGCTTGGGCAACAGAGCAAGGCTCCATCTCAATAAATAAATAAATAAATCCTTTCCATGTGCCAGGCTCTCTTCTAAGGGCTTTAGAAGCACTCACTCATGACTGGGCGCAGTGGCTCACGCCTGTAATCCCAGCACTTTGGGAGGCCAAGGAGGGTAGATCATTAGGTCAAGAGATTGCAACCATCCTGTCCAACATGGTGAAACCCTGTCTCTACTAAAAATACAAAAATTAGCTGGGTGTGGTGGCACATACCTGTAGTCCCAGCTACTTGGGAAGCTGAGGCAGAAGAATCGCCTGAACCTGGGAGGCAGGGGTTGCAGTGAGCCAAGATTGCGCCACTGCACGCCTGCCTGGGCAATAGAGAGAGACTCTGTCTCAAAAAAAAAAGAAAAGAAACACTCACACATGTCCTCCTTAGAACCACCTTCTGAGATGGACCCTATTACGATCCTCATTTACTGATGAGGAAACTGAAACACACAGAGATCAAGTCACTTGTCTAAGGTGACATAGTAAGTAGCAGAGCTGGGAGCTCCATAAGCAGTCTACCCCCAGGGACCAGTCTCTTAACCATTAGTTTGTCTCTCACTTACTTACATGGTCAAGACACATTAGGAGGGAAAAAAGAGGGTTGGCTACAAAACAGCACATTAGTATGATTTCATTTTTGTTTTAAAAAAAATAGGTGTCTGATATATATATATGCATATAAACAGCCTACAAGAATAATATATTAGGTGTTAACAGTGCTTGTCTCCAGGTTGGATGTGGGTGCACGTGCCACGAGAAAAAAGACTTTGGGAGTTTTCACTTACCCCCTCTCCCCCTTGCATCCCATATCCAATCCTTCAGGGAATCCTTTTGGGTTGGCTCTGTCTTTACAACACATCCAGAACCCTGCACTCCTACTGCCACCACTACCACCACCCTAGGCCAAGTCCCCATCACGTCTGCCTCAAATCCCCACAATCACCCTCTAACTGGTCACAGGGCTTCCACTCCTGCTGCCCGTCTACTCACGACACATCGGCTGGAATAACTCTTTTAAACTATGTCAGATCATAATCTTCTCCTGTTCCAAACCCTACAATAGCGCCCCATTTCTCCCATGGTGAAAACCAAAACCTTTACAATAACCCACAAGGCCCTACAGGATCGGACCCATCTCCTACTCTTCTCCCCTCACTCCCTCCAGCACAACCACCCAGCCTCCTGGCTACCCCTTGAGCATACCAGGATATGTGACACACTCCCACCTCAGGGCCCTGGCACTGGCCGTTCCTGCTGCCTGTAACACTCTTTCCCCAGATAATTGCAATGTTCTCTCTCTTTCCTCCTTCAAGTCTTTGCTCAATCATCACCTTCTCAATGAGGCCTACCTTGGCACCACCCCTTAAAACTGCAACTTGTGGCCAGGCACGGTGGCTCATACCCTTAATCCCAGCACTTTGGGAGGTCAAGGTGGGTGAATCACGAGGTCAGGAGTTCAAGAGCAGTCTGGTCAAGATGGTGAAACCCCGTCTCTACTAAAAATACAAAAATTAGCCAAGTGTGGTGGCAGGAGCCTGTAATTCCAGCTGCTCGGGAGGCTGAGGCAGAGAATTGCTTGAACCCAGGATGCGGAGGTTGCAGTGAGCCAAGATCTCACCACTGCACTCCAGCCTGGGTGAGAGAGTGAGACTCTGTGTCAAAAAAAAAAACAAAAAACTGCAACTTGCCCCACATCTTCCTCTCTTTTACGCTTGGCTACCTTTTCTTTTTCTGATGACATTTATCACTTACTGACACACTACATAAGTTACAATGTTTACTGTTGTTTTCTGTCTCCCCTTGCTATGATGTAAACTCCAGTATGGCAAAGATCTGTGTCTGTTTTGGTCACGCATATATCACTAGAGTACCTGAAACAGTGCTTGACACATATTAGGCTCTCAATAAACACATGTTGCTGAATCTTACAGTGAGAACTAGAATTCAAAATGACTGATTTACAAGACTGTCTAATAAAGTACCATGGAAGAGAGAACACTCTGAGTTAGCAATTGGCTGTGTACCCACCCTGGGTCTATGAGATTGTCAATTCTTTCTCTAGGCAATAGTTTTCCTCTTGATATGTGAAGTGCTCGGGCTTTCTCACCACCTCCTATGATGAAAACACGATTAGATTAGATTAGATTGGATTAGATTGACACGATAAAAAGGTCTCAATGCCAGTAAAACATAATACTTAATCCAAACTATAGTACTTTTTAAAAGTTCAACATGTCCTCTGAGAAAAGGCTAATCATTTACTCAATTTACAAGTTGCCAATTTTCTGAAGTAAATTTAAAAACTGGTATTTAAAAAAAAAAAAAATCAAGTCAGGCGCAGTAGCTCACGCCTGTAATCCCAGCACTTTGAGAGGCTGAGGTGGGTGGATCACAAGGTCAGGAGTTCCAGGTCAGCCTGGCCAACATAGTAAAACCCTGTCTCTACTAATAATACAAAAAATTAGCCAGGCATGGTGGAGGGCACCTGTAATCCCAGCTACTCAGGAGGCTGAAGCAGGAGAATCTCTTGAATCGGGAGGCAAAGGTTGCAGTGAGCCCAGATTGCGTCATTGCACTCCAGCCCGGGTGACAGTGTGAGACTCTGTCTCAAAGAAAAAAAATCAATCTATCCCTGATCCTAGAGTATACCCTAGAGTCTATGTTCTGAATTCACTAGTAATTACTTAAATTACAGAGTATTTTCTCTGCAGCTCACATATTGCAAATATCGCCTCATCGCCACCATATTTATTAAATACATGCTATGATAGATCTGGAAAATTCCTATTTTCATTTGTCCCAGGTAAAAATATGATTTTAGAAATTCCATAATAAGCACAGTAAATTTGCCTAAAGATGACATTAGTGATCCATAACTTTTCCAGCTTGCAACTGGAAGAGTTGAACACTTTAGCGTTTTACAAGTCCCCTTACTTGACTCAGAGATTGTCTTCCATGCTTCCCAACACTGCTCACATCACGACAGACAAATAAAATTATAACTGAAGAGCTCACTGGGGTATCTGTATTCTTGGGAATATCTATAACCCATTCTCAGCAAACCAAGGTAATGAAGCAAGAACAGAAGTATCAAATTGTACCTTTAATAATTAAAACATTAGTTTATTTTTATTGGTGCCCAAGAATTTCATGTTAATATAGTCTTTGTGTAACGAAATGTTCAACTCTTTCAGAAAGTTATTTCTTTGTTTATTTGAGCAAGAAAATAATTTCAAACAATCTTCCAAGTGTGACCTTTTTTCTTTTTTGAGACAAGATCTCACTGTCACCCAGGCTAGACTGCAGTGGTGCCATCATGGCTCACCACAGTCTTCAACTCCTGAACTCAAGTGATCCTCTCGCCTCAGGCTTCCCAGCAACTAGTACTACAGGCATGCGCCACCACTCCAGCTAAATTTTTGCGATGAGGTCTCGCTATGTTGCCGAGGCAGGTATCAAACACCTGGCTTCATGCAATTCTCCTGCCTTCACCTTCCAAAGTGCTGGGATTACAGGTATAAGCCACCGCACCCAGCCTTTTTTTGTTTTTGTTTTGACACAGGGTCTTGCTTGGTCTCGAGGCTGGTCACAGCTCACTGTAACCTCAAACTCCTGGACTCACGCAGCCTTTCCACCTCAGCCTCCCAAAGTGTTGGGATTACAAGTGTGGGCCACCACACCCAGCCATGACCTTATTTTTCAAACCAGGACTCTGCTATACCCAAAAGGAATTTTTTTTCCTGGAAGGGGTACATAGCATATTTTTAAGATTAAATCTGCCTTTAGGTTGCCAAGAAAATTGTATCACGTCTAATATTCTATTAAAATGAAAATACTTCTGGGAGGGAAAGACAGACCTCTTTATAAGATAGTATGAGTTAAACCATATTGCTTTTCTCTTTTCTCCAACTACTGGCTGAGTCCCTGCTGAGGTGTACTGAGAGGAGGGAGAGGGAGGGACAAAGGGGTTACAAAGGGAAGAGGAAGCTTTGGGGAATAATATATTCATTATTTTGATTGCCAAGATGGTTTCATGGATGTATACACATGTCAAAACTCATCAGATTGCACACTTTAAATAATGGTTTACTGAATACAATAAATCTGTTTAAAAATATATATTAAGGCCAGGCACGGTGGCTCACACCTGTAATCCCAGCATTTAGAAGGCTGAGGCGGCTGGATCACGAGGTCTGGAGTTAGAGACCAGCCTGGCCAATATGGTGAAACACTATCTCTACTAAAAACACAAACATGGCCGGGCGCGGTGGCTCAAGCCTGTAATCCCAGCACTTTGGGAGGCCGAGGCGGGTGGATCACGACGTCAAGAGATCGAGACCATCCTGGTCAACATGGTGAAACCCCGTCTCTACTAAAAAACTACAAAAAATTAGCTGGGCATGGTGGCGCGTGCCTGTAGTCCCAGCTACTCAGGAGGCTGAGGCAGGAGAATTGCCTGAACCCAAGAGGCGGAGGTTGCGGTGAGCCGAGATCGTGCCATTGCACTCCAGCCTGGGTAACAAGAGTGAAACTCCGTCTCAAAAAAAAAAAAAAAAAAAAAAAAAAACACAAACATTACCCAGGCGTGGTAGCGTGCGCCTGTAATCGGAAGGCTGAGGCAGAAGAATTGCTTGAAGCCTGGAGGCGGAGATTGCAGTAAGCTGAGATCACAATGAACTCCAACCTGGGTGACAGAGTGAGACCCATCGCAAAAAAAAAAAAAAAAAAATACATATATATGGTAGGAGGAAGGTACTAATTCAAAAACTACCCATTGGATATTATGCTGATTACCTGGGAGACAAAATTATCTGTACACCAAACTCCCACAACATGCAATCTACTCATATAGCAAACCTGCACATGTACCCCTGAACCTAAAATAAAAGTTGGAAAGAAAAACAAAATACATCTTAAAAGAAAAATAACCTAAGGCACTGCAAGGAAATCCAGACTGGGGTCAAAGTCTTTGGAGAATCACCGTAAGTGCCCACTAAGGGGCTAGCAGGAGAAGGGGAGAAGAGGAAGTTGGGGGTGACAGAGAGGTGTGGTAAGACACATTGAAAAAAAAAAAGGCTGGGCACAGTGGCTCACTCCTGTAATCCCAGCACTTTGTGGGGTCGAGGTGGGTGGATTACTCGAGGCCAGGAGTTTGAGACCAGCCTGGACAACATGGTGAAACCCCATCTCTACTAAAAATATGAAAAATCAGCCAAGTCTGGTGGTGCATGTCTGTGGTCCCAGCTACTTGGGAGGCTGAGGCAGGAGAATCATTTGAACCCATGAAGCCGAGGTTGTAGTGAGCCAAGATGGTAACACTACACTCCAGCCTGAGTGACAGAACAAGACTCCATCTCAGAAAAAAAAAAAAAAAAAAAAAAAGGACTTAAACAACATCATTCTTTAGCAATTCTGCCTAGAGTGGCGCCTTACAATTTGGAGCAGCTAGTGAATTCTGGTTTTATTAGGAAGAACCAGAAGGAGAGTTATCCTTGATGCAGGCTCACAGAGTACAGAATTAAGTTCCCTTGACATTTAATTCTTGCCAAAACTGTGAAGGCCAAGTTTGTCCTTTCTCCCTTCTCCCCCCTTCCTTTCCCAGGGAGTCCGGCTCAGTCCTCTCCCCTCCTGTGGCCACCAGCCTTCACCACGGTTCCTCAGCACCCACCATCCCCAAAAGGCACCCAATGCCACAAGACAACTCACTCCTTCACTGAGTCAAACCCACCATCTTTTTTTTTTTTTCTTTTTTTTTTTTAAGACAAAGTCTTTCTCTGTCTCCCAGGTTGGAGCGCAATGGCGCAATCTCAGCTCACTACAACCTCCTCCTCCTGGGTGCAAACGATTCTCCTGCCTCAGCCTCCCAAGTAGCTGGGATTACAGGCATGAGCCACCACACCCAGCTAATTTTGTATTTTTAGTAAAGATGGAGTTTCACCATGTTGGTCAGGCTGGTCTCAAATATCTGACCTCACGTAATCCACCCACCTCGGCCTCCCAAAGTGCTGGGATTACAGGTGTGAGCCACTATGCCCAGCCCCAAAACCCACCATCTTAATGTCTAAGGGGGACAGTGAGTTTACCAAATCAAACTCTCAACATGGGCATGACGACTGAGTTATCACCCCTAACAATGCATTTTCATTTCAGCAAGTTTAGATTCCTTTCCTGGAGACAACACCTTTATCTAAAATGGCTTCAAAAGTATGAATTCCATAGCTGGATACAGGGGCACATGTATAATCTCAGCTACTTGGGAGGCTGAGGCAAGAAGATCACTTGAGCTCATGACTTCGAGTCCAACGTGAGCAACAGGGTGGGGAGATCCTGTCTCTAAATAAATAAGTAAATAAGCAATTCTAGACCATACTTGCCAAATCCAGTCTTCTTCACTATTTTCATACTCCTGAGACTTAGTATTTACACTACTCCACTCTCAATGTACAATTTTAGATTAAAAGTATTATATATTAAGTATTACATATTTGTTGATAAAAGAGTTATCTGAAACAGTCTATCAAATATGAAGAATGCTTTCCATCTGAGATTCAGCACTGAGGAAAAATATATTAAACACCTATTAAGAAATCACCGGCTAGGTGTGGTGACTCACACCTGTAATCCCAGCACTTTGGGAGACCAAGACAGGAGGATCACTTGAACCAGGGGTTCAAAAAAATTTTCTCTTAAAAAAAAAAAAAATTGGGGCCGGGCGCGGTGGCTCAAGCCTGTAATCCCAGCACTTTGGGAGGCCGAGGCGGGTGGATCACGAGGTCAAGAGATCGAGACCATCCTGGTCAACATGGTGAAACCCCGTCTCTACTAAAAATACAAAAAATTAGCTGGGTATGGTGGCACGTGCCTGTAATCCTAGCTACTCAGGAGGCTGAGGCAGGAGAATTGCCTGAACCCAGGAGGCGGAGGTTGCGGTGAGCCGAGATCGCGCCATTGCACTCCAGCCTGGGTAACAAGAGCGAAACTCCGTCTCAAAAAAAAAAAAAAAAAAAAAAAAAAAAAAAAAAAATTAAGGCCGGGCGTGGTGGCTCATGCCTGTAATCCAAGCACTTTGGAGGCCAACACGGGCAGATCACCTGAGGTCGGGAGTTCAAGACCAGCCTGACCAACATGGTGAAACCCCATCTTTAAAAAAAAAAAAAAATTAATAAAAATAAAAAGTAAATTATTCAAAAAATTTATGAATTTGAATCTTTACTTTTCACCCCAAAAGTGATAGTGCGCTATGAGGAGAAAACCTGGCCAAGTAATAGAAAAAATAAAATTAAATGCCTGCATACCAACAAATGCATAGTCATAAGAGTCAAAAGCTTGGCCAGGAACATGGCTCACGCCTTTATTTGCAACACTTTGGGAGGCCAAGGTGGATGAATCACTTCTTGTCAGGAGTTCAAGACCAGTGAGGCCAACATGGTGAAACCCTGTCTCTACTAGAAAAATACAAAAATTAGCCAGGCATGGTGGCGGGTGCCTGTAATCCCAGCTACTTGGGAGGCTGAGGTAGGAGAATCACTTGAACAGAGGAAGTGGAGGTTGCAGTGAGCCAAGATCGGGCCACTGCACTCCAGCCTGGGCGACAGAGCAAGACTCCATTTCAAGAAACAAAAAGAGTCAAAAGCTTAATTCCACTAGTTTTTCCTAAAACCAGTAACTATAAAGGACATCTTGCCGGGCGCGGTGGCTCAAGCCTGTAATCCCAGCACTTTGGGAGGCCGAGGTGGGTGGATCACGAGGTCAAGAGATCGAGACCATCCTGGTCAACATGGTGAAACCCCGTCTCTACTAAAAATACAAAACATTAGCTGGGCATGGTGGTGCGTGCCTATAATCCCAGCTACTCAGGAGGCTGAGGCAGGAGAATTGCCTGAACCCAGGAGGCGGAGGTTGCGGTGAGCCGAGATCGCGCCATTGCACTCCAGCCTGGGTAACATGAGTGAAACTCCATCTCAAAAAAAATCCAACTCAAAAAAAAAGGACATCGTAAGCAAAAGGATAAACTGAAGAATAAATGCTGTGTTTACCTAGTTTTATACGCTGCATTCGTTCATGGAGCTGATTTACTAGTGCTTTCATCTGCTCGTAGTTCTCCTAAAACAGAAGTAGAGGAGTGGGGGAGAGAAATATTAGAAAGCAATTCCTTTTTCCCAAAATAAAGGCTAAAAAAAAAAAAAAAACACATTGTTCTGTGCCAACTCTGTGTGACCGCCACACTGGGCCTCCCCTATCCATGGCAGCCACACTAGGCCACTGGAGTCTATGGAAAAACTCACCCCTTCCTGTCTTGTTCTTCACCACCCCACTTGTTCATCTCTCCAAGTCTTACCCCTCTGCAAGCCTAATTCATGTTTCATCTCATCTTCAACTCCACTTCTGGCCACTCCTACTCAATTTAACATCTTTCTTCCCTAAACACCTTCTGAACTTAAATTGATCTCTATTTGTTTTCCTGTTTTAAGCTTTTTGAAGATTAAAATACCATCTTATTTTTCCTGTCCCATCAGTCACTATCTGAGATTCCAACCAAGGCTTGCTTACTGACAAATTACACATAAAAACAAATCCCAGAGGGAAAAAAAAAAGATCCCTTTTATTTTTTTGTACTTTGTATTTTTATTTTTTGGGACAGTCTGGCTCTGTTGCACAGGCTAGAGTGCAATGGCGCAATCTCGGCTCACTGCAACCTCCGCCTCCCGGGTTCAAGCGATTCTCCTGCCTCCTGCCTCAGCCTACCGAGTAGCAGGGACTACAGGTGCCCACCATGACCAGCTAATTTTTGTATTTTTAATACAGACAGGGTTTCTCCATGTTGGCCAGACTGGTCTCGAACTCCTGAGCTCAAGTGATTCACCCACATCTGCCTTCCAAAGTACTGGGATTACAGGTATGAGCCACTGCATCTGGCCATGGATCCTATTTTGTTTTAAAAAGCACAGGCTGCCGGGCGCGGTGGCTCACGCCTGTAATCCCAGCACTTTGGGAGGCTGAGGAGGGAGGATCACGAAGTCAGGAGATTGTGACCATCCTGGCCAACATGGTGAAACCCCATCTCTAAAAAAAAAGCACAGGCTAGGTGTGGTGGCTCACACCTGTAATCCTAGAGCTTTGGGAGGTAGAGGCAGAGGCATTGCTCAAGCCCAGGAGTTTGAGACCAGCCTGGGCCACATAGGAAGACTTCCATCTCTACAAAAAGAATACAAAATAAAAAGAATAAGAATTTTTAAATTATCTGGGCGTGGTGTTATGTCCCAGCGACCCAGCAGACTGAGGTGGAAGGATCTCTTGGGCCCAGGAGTTGGAGGCTGCAGTGAACTAGGACCATGACACTGTACTCCAGCCTGCACGACAGAGCAGAACTGTTTCAAATAAACAAACAAACAAATAAATAAATAAATAAAAACTCTATGCTGGGATATATTCAGAAATTTTCTAAGTAATACACTAGGAAATGTTAACAGTGAGAAGTAGAAAAAAGGTAGAGGGATTAACTTTTCACCCTTCTGTATTTCTAAAGTTTGTTTGGTCAGCATATTACTTTTGAACAACACTTAAATAGCTAATTACCTTTGAAATTCAGAGTCTGGCCCACTAACACATTTTGCTTCCCATGTGATTAGCATCTCTACTTATTTAGTTCCTTTTACCTGATAAAACCCTCAGCAACTTCCTAACTGTTCAATTTTAGATGAATATTCAGTCTATAGCATGGCTCCATTATTTCCTATTCTCTACAGCTCCAAGAGCTATGGAGGTCATGATTTCCTCTACATTCTCTTGCTCTGCAAAATCCAAAAAACAAAAAACAAGGAGGCAGCACAGTGTTCAGGAAAGAACGAGTTGGACCTAACACAAATATACACAGAATATGTCACCCTACAACAGCAGAAAAAAGTATGTAACTTTTCTTAAGTGCACAGAGAACATTCTCCAAGACAGACTACATGTCAGGCCACAAAAAAAATCTTAATAAATGTTAAAAGATTAAAATCATACAAATTATCCTTTCCTTTTTTTTTTTTTAAAGAAGGAGTCTGGCGCCTGGCTCTGTAGCTCAGGCTGGAGTGCAGTGGTACAATCTTAGTTCACTGCAACCTCCGCCTCCCAGGTTCACGCATCTCTCCTGCCTCACCCTCCCACATAGCTGGGATTACAGGGGTCTGCCACCACGCCCAGGTAATTTTTGTATTTTTAGTGGAGACAAGGTTGGCCATGTTGGCCAGGCTGGTCTTGAACTCCTGACTTCAGGTGATCCACCCGCCTCAGCCTCCCAAAGTGCTGGTATTATAGGTGTGAGCCACCTTGCCCAGCCCAAAGTATCCTTTCAATCACAATGTAATGAAACTAGAAATCAATGTTAGAAGGATGACTGGAAAATTCACAAACATATGGAAATTAAACAACGTGCTCTTAAACAACCAGTGAGTCAAGAAGAAAAGCACTGACCCACTCAGGCTGACGTTTGCCTCCACAGACTAGACTATATCTGTGCCAAGCTTGGTGCATCAGATTTACACCACAGAAGAGCCAGTACTGGCTACACTTCACCTCCAAGGCAATCCTTTGTCAACCAACCTAGCCTCCTGAGGATGAGTATCGCCAACCAAGAAACAGTGTAATTTAGCGGCACAAGGACAGACTTGGAAGCCAGACAGACCTGAGTTCAGCTTTTAGTTTCCCTACTTACTGATCTCTCAGGGCCCCAGGTATGTGTGTTATTGTTTTTCAATCACCTATAAAACAATTTCTACAACCTAGTAATTTTCTTGTGAAGATGAGCAACCAGAGAGGGTAGTGCCTGACAGTCATAATGAATTGGAGCCAAGCCATTGACAAGTTCCCACCCCGTCTTTTCAACCATAGAACTCACCTAGGTAGAGTTGGGTGAGTAATAAGCATTATAAAGCAAGACCCTGGACTCAATAGTTACGAGCCAGACAACCTGACTTCAAATTCAGGCTCTGTGTTATCTCAGACAAATTACCTGGACCCTATATATCACAGTCTTCCCATCTATAAAACAGAATAACAATTGTACCTACTACACAGGATCATTATGATAAATACATGGGTGAAACCATATAAAGCCTTTAGAAAAATGGCGGGCACAAGGGGAGAGATGCCAGATGTAGGTGATGGGGAGGAAAGCATCAAATCACACTGCTACGTGTGTACCTATGCAACAGTCTTGCATGTTCTTCACATGTACCCCAAAACCTAAAATGCAATAAATAAATGGAAAAATAAAAAAGAAAAAAAGAAAAAAGGTGGGCACGCTATAAAATTTCTGCCATTAGTATTACTTATTATAGTGCTGTTATTTCTAATCAGGAAACACAGCTAAACTGGATTGTTCATCCCACTCTCCCCCACCCTCATGGCCTTGCTTTGTCTAATATGAGTACACATGAATTTCGTAATATCCCAGCAAGAACTTTTACTTTGCTTTTATTTTTATTTTAATGTTTTTTGACAGCCGGGGTTTGTATTTTTAGTAGAGACGGGGTTTCACCCAGTTGGCCAGGCTGCTCTCAAACTCCTGACCTCAGGTAATTCACTCGCCAGAGCCTCCCAAAGTGCTGGGATTACAGGTGTGAGCCACCGCGCCCAGCCATCATAACCAACTTATAAACTAAAATTTCGTAAGCACAGCGCCCCTGGTTGGGGTGTTCTAGGCCAGTGGTTGGCAAAGCTGGCTGCCAAAAGTACCCTAAGGACTTCACTACAATGTAAACACCACAACTCTACCTGAGACCTAGAAGGTCCAGAGTGGGGCTCAGGCCGCTATTCAACGAGCTCCCCAGGTGAGAATTCTAAACCAGGTTTTAAGAGCCACTGATTTCAAAGACACAAAGTACAGTGCTGGCTCTAAAAGTGAACTAAAATTTCTTTTATCTGTTAGGCTTTTCTTCTTCAAACTTCACTTGGATCCCAGAATCGACTGAGGCTCCTGAGAAGAGAGCAGCAGCTGTTGAAGCCTGCCCCTCCTCCACTTGCTTCCTCCACTCGCGGCCAGGCCCCCGGAGCGCTCAGCCTACCTGGTAGACCGCAGAGCCCGCGTCCGGCTGGGTGCCCAACGAGGCCACCGAGTCCCCGTGATAGCCGCGCAGCCCGGCGGGAGCGGCGCGGGCACAAGGCCACAGGGCTAACCTCCGGGCGGCCCACATGGCGGCGGGCACAGAGCGAGCGAGCGAAGAGAGCGAGAGAGCGGCCTGCGCTGGCCCGGAGTCGGTGCTTTCCCCTTCCGCTTCCCTGGCTGGGGCTGGTCTCGGGTCTTTGCAGCACTAGCGAAGGCCTCCCGATTCTCAGGCGGGCAGGCCCCCTCACGTGCCTAAGCACCCCGCCCGCGATTGGTCAGGCCGCGCCACGCCCCCTGAGCCAACCAATAAGAAACAGAGGCTCAGCCCCACGAGATCGCGTCCGGTCCCGAGCGCAGGAGAGCTGGGATCCCGGCTGAACAACCCTCACATGACCAACTGGGTGCCCCTAAACGGCGCAGTGCTGAAAGAGCTGCGGTTGGGCTTGGGCTGGTGTTGTGTTGACACCGATAGATAATATCACGACGGTGACTGTACCTAAGGCAGGAGAATCAGGGTCTGGAGGCAGGGAAACTAAGGCTGTCTCACACTGACTTCATAGAGCTAAACTGAAAGGAAAACCCTAACCTTCCATGCCTAAGTAGCAAAAGGATCAGGGGCTACTCCCTTTGCAAACCCCCCAACTTTCTGCCGGGCAGATAGGAAATTGGCTGTCTGCAACAAATCAGACTGACTGTCGGTGGAGTCTTCCTTTGCAACTTCGTAACTTAACTCCAGCCTCTGAATGGTTGCTGTCCACAACCAAGCAGACTGATTGGGGGCCCAGTCTTCGTTTGCATAGAGGTATAACTTTGTAACTTCACCATTGCCTCCGATTGCTTGCTTTTTGCTGTTTGCACAGGAGTGTAACTTCACTTCAGCCTCTGGTTGGCTGCTTTCTACAACCAATCAGACTGATTGTGGACTACCACTTCATTTACATGATTGGAAACTTCTAGTGAGTATTTGGACCCGAGAAGATTCTGTATCCAGTCCCTTGAGCTGCTGCTTGGTCTGCTCCCACAGTGTGGAGTGTACTTTTGTTTTCAGTAAATCCCTGCTTTGGTTCTTTCGTTGCCTCGTTCTTTCTTTGCCTTGCGGGGCGTTTCGTCAAATTATTTGTTCAAAACGTCAAGAACCTGTACAACTTGCAGTCGCGACCCTCTACCGGTGACACACCAGCAACATGGGTCAATCGCATCTAACATGTGCTTGCGTACAGCACAAGTCTCTTGTCCTTTCACTGGAGACCTTAAACACTCTTCTGATTATTTTCGCTATGTAATTATTTTTCTTTATTTTTTACTTTGTTTTATTTCATTTTTTTGAAACAGGGTCTCACTCTGTCCCCCAGACTGGAGTGCTTTGGCACGATCACATCTCGTTGAATCCTTGACCTCCCACCTCAGCCTCTGGAGTATCTGGGACTACAAGCACACATGACACCAAGCCCTGCTAATTTTTTATGTTTGTAGGGGTTTCACCACGTTGGCCATGCTGGTCTTGAACTCCTGGACTTAAGCGATCCACCCGCCATAGCCTCCCAAAGTGCTGGGGTTACAGGCGTGAGCCACCACACTGGGCACTATGTAGTGATAGATTGTGGACATCAACACTGTGATCTTAAATAAAGGACTCCAAATACACCCATAAAATTAAAACTCTATACAGAAGGTCTTGAACTTAAGGTTTTTTGTTCAAATATGTATTGAGTACTTACTAATTCTACTCCACTGGTTGCTTAGCAGGGCAAAGTAAAGGGGGAGGAGAGGTACAGAAAGGGTTCGTCTACAACTGCAGGTAAACTTACAGACTTCAAGGTACTTATGAGAAAATAATACAAATGGCCACATGATTTCTTATTGGACTGTGTAGGATAGACATTTAAGGAACAAAATGCAATTGTGAAAGGGTTGCAGCTGAGCGTTGCAGAAGCACTGAGGGTGGACTGAGCCGTGAACATGGCCAGGCTTTGTGCAAATGGGGGAGAGCATGAGCTAAACTGCAAAGGCATGATTTACACTGTGCTTGCCTCCCATGGTAAAAAAAAAAAAAAAAAAAATCCAGTAAAAACTTACTTTTCATGTACAACTAAGTAGCAGGAAAGAATGTTTGACATTTTAATTGCCACATTTTTTCTCTAAATAGTTCTTCAATTATGCAAAGTACTTAAAATCACTACCTGAAGGCAGAAAAGACACAATAGGATTTGATTCCTTGCTTTCTTTAAAAGTCATTCGCAGGTGTGGTGGCTCACGCCTGTAATCCTAGCTCTTTGGGAGGCCGAGGCGGGTGGATCACCTGAGGTCAGGAGTTTGAGACCAGCCTGGCCAATGTGGTGAAATCCCATCTCTACTAAAAATACAAAAATTTGCCGAGCATAGTCGTGCGTGCCTGTAAACCCAGCTACCTGGGAAGCTGAGGCAGGAGAATCACCGGAACCAGGGAGGCAGAGACTGCAATGAGCCAAGATCACACCACTGCGCTCCAGCCTGGGTGACAGAGCAAGACTCTGTCTCAAAAAAAAAAAAAAAAAAAAAAAAGTCATACGTGTTTCTTATTTCTTGTAACTTTTGTTACAAGAAGCTCTTTGGAAATGTGTAATGTTCCCAGAACACCTAAGTAAAAATATGCAAAAGGTGAAGTGCAAATGCACAGAAGGTCAAAAGCAATGTCACTTAGCATCTATTAGTGTCCAGTGTCTCTTTACCCCACTATTGAGATCACAGGGAGCATAATCTTTGCCACCTCTGATTTTTTAAAATAATGTTTTCTTGAGGCCAGTAACTTGAGACTGGCCTAGGCAACATAGTGAGCCCATGTCTCTGAAAAATAAAAATAGCCATGTATGGTGACACGTGCCTGGAGTCCTAGCTACTAGGGGAGCTGAGGTGGGAGAATTCACTTGAATCCAGGAGTTTGAGACTTCAATGCCATGGCACTTCAGCCTGAGTGACAGAGCTAGACCCCATCTCTAAAAAAATAAAAATAAAAATAAAATAAAATAATGTTTTATGTAATAAAATAAGAGAATGAGTTGAAAAATGTAACCGCCAGGGCTAATCTCTGCAGCCTGGTGCGCTCAGTTCTTTCCCATGAGTTGCTCATTCCATTGGCTGCCATCTTCCATATGCCTCCTTCGTTTAACTGCACCAATCCCTCTGCCCAGGGCATCTTCCCACGACCAGACTTGCCCGTTCCATCTTCTCTACCTGGTAAGCCCATACACATCCTTTAGGACTTGACTCAGGAATCTCCTCCTACAGAAGCCCTCCCTGACCCCACCTCATTAGCTCTTTCCCCCTTTAGGCCTCTATTGTGGCTCGGGTCAGCACCTGTTATTAGAGCTCATTTTGTTTCTCCAACTTGGGGTCTTGTCAGTGTCATCACCTATGGCCTATCCCTGGCATCTGTAGTATGCTAAATTTGTTGGATGAATACATGAAAAATAACTGCTCTAAATTTGTTGGTTGAATACATGAAAAATAATCAGAGCAAGAAGACATTCCAGGACACCTGAGGGAGGGTTATTTCAAGGCCAGACAACAAGCTAGGAGGTCAGGATTGGGAGTTAGGCCTGCCAGGCTCTCCTCTGCTATCAAATCTCTTCAGTAGAAACTTGATGAACTTACCTAGGATATCACATGGCATTAAATAGAAGCTTGATGACCGGCCGGGCGCAGTGGCTCACGCCTGTAATCCTAACACTTTGGGAGGCCGAGATGGGTGGATCACCTGAGGTCAGGAGTTCAAGACCAGCTTGGCCATCATGGTGAAACCCCATCTTATTAAAAAAAATTTTTTTTAATAAAAAAAAAAAAAGAAACTTGACGACCTTGCCTGAGAAATCATATGGCATTACTTTGTTTGAACCCTATTAGATTCAAGGGGAGGGAACATAGACCCCACTGCTCAATGAGAGGCGTGTCTAGGCCACTTGTAGAAAAGATGAGAGATATTGTGTGACTATCTTTGGAAAACACGACTGACATGCCAGGTACACACACTCATGTTGATACCTTTATCCCAATCTAATCTTATATTTCTTTTCCTTGGTATAACAATCCATTTCCATATTCCCTAACTCTTGCCAATGCAAATTGGCATGAAACTATTTCCTTCTGGACCGTGTTCAGTACTTTTTGGTTTGCACTGGAATCACTAACTTCTGTTAAGATCCAGAAGCAAGGAGGCATGGTAAGATTGGTCCCTCACAAGAATTGGCATCAGCTCCTAAGGCAAATGCCCCAGATAAAATGACTGAATGACTTTTACACAGGGAAAGGCTGGTCGGGAAGAGGGAGTGGATATGAAGGTAGGTTGCCTCCACCTCTGAGAAAGGCTCAAGGGGCTTTGGGCATTTGAGATTCTGGATCTTGACCACAGCTGCCCAAATGTGTCCATCCTATTTCTCAGCTTTCCATTCCTTCCTGTGTAGTGTCCTTATATCATATTGTACCTTTCATTGACCCCTCAACTCCCTTCTTGTCAAGTCCTGGCTTGATCCTCAGCCAAACTGCCCTGCATCTACAGAAGATAACAGACTCCAAGCTGTGATAAAGGATTTCTTACTTGTCACTATTATCATAAGAATCTACTCAAGGTAAATAAAATTAGTTGTGCATACAAAAACTTGTACAAAAATATTTATAACAGCTTTATTTGTAATACACAAAATCTCTAAACAACCCAAATGTCCATTAGCAGGTGAGTGAATAAGCAAATTATGGTCAATCCATATGACACAATACTGTTTGCAATAAAAGCTATGTAGGGCATGGTAGCTCACACCTATAATCCCAGCTACTTGAGAGGCTGAGACCCTTGAGCCCAGGAGTTCAAGACCAGCCTGGGCAACATAGCAAGACCCCACTCTTAAAAAATTAGCCTGATATAATGGGTGTACCTGTAGTCGCAGCTACTTTGGAGGCCAAGGTGGGAGGATCACTTGGGCCTAGGAAGTAGAGGCTGTAGTAAGCTACAGTTGCATTACTGTACTCCAGCCTGAGCAAAAGAACGAGGCCCCAACTCTTTAAAAAAAAAAAAAAAAAAAAAAGGCCAGTCACAGTGGCTCACACCTGTAATCCCAGCACTTTGGGAGACCAAGGTGGGTGGATCACGAGGTCAGGAGTTCAAGACCAGCCTGATCAACCTGGTGAAACCCCATCTCTACTAAAAATACAAAAATTAGCCAGGCATGGTGGTTGGCACCTGTAATTCCAGCTATTC